TTAAATTACATACTCAATTTCAGATCATTGAGGATTGATAGATTTGGCCTAATTTCTCTTCTTCAAATAATAATGAAATAAAACAAATACAAAAAAACAAAACAAGTCAGTCTCTTTGTTAATAAACAAATAATTGGCAAAAAAATAATATTGTGATTATAAATCTTTCAAGTTGGATGAAACTGCACACAGTGTGCAAAATTTTATTAAAATCGGTTCAGTAGTTTAGAAGTCCATTGCGGACAAACAACGTGACACGTAATTTATATATATATTAATATAAGATATATAAAATATATAAATAATATAAATATTTTTATCTTGTGTTTCATTTATATATTTATTTATATTTTTTAATGGAAATGTAATTTATATCATCAATATAAATATATTCCAAATAAAATGTACTACTTTTGCATATTATTTTATATATTGTAGTAACAAATTAAATCCGTTATATATATATACATATATATATGTATGTATAAAAATCTTTAAATAATTCACAGTACTCAAAGGGTTAATAGAGAAAACAACAAAAAGTGAAGCTTCTTGTTTTTAACACAACATCTTTGACAATTTTACAAATGGGTTTTAAACTTAATCCCTTTATTTCGTGATCACGCATAAAACATGCTACTTCTTCTTATTCTATAAAAAAGAAATGGTACGGACAACTACTACTACTACAATCAAACATTATTATCATCAGTGCTTATAAGAAATTTTCTTCTACGTTGGATTTTCACGATTTAAGTTAAATAAATTCAAAACAGAATTAAAATGATGAAGCTTTGTTATCTACAAATGTAGATAAAATTGTTTCTTTTCTTCTTCTTTTTTTTCTTCTTACTTCAACCTTTTCGAACGAAATAGAAAGAGAAAAAAAATAAAATAAATAATTCCTGTAACATTATCATTATTCATTTCTTATTCATTTTTAATCATTTCATTTCGTATTCTCATTTTTCTACTTCTTATTCGTTTTTTTTTCATTTTACTTTCCTTTTACATTTTAATATTACTTTCTCAACGGTATAATAATTATTACGAAATAATTTTAATAATATTAATAATAATAATAATAATAATAATAAATTATTGATTTATAAGACAGGTGAAAAAAAGAGAAACCAGTAACCAAATAATCTATAGTAAAATAAATCATATATATATATATATATCCAAAAAAAAAGAAACTGAAAAAAATAAAGAAAAAAAAATCTACGTTATTATACAGCCAAGTTTTTGATGGTTCTGACAACCTGAATCGTAAAAAAAAAAAGTGAACAAGGTCATCGAGTACTCGTGGATCGAGTGTAACATTTTTTCGTCATCAAGGATATATATGCATATCCTTGATAATAATCGTCGCGAAAAAAAAAGTTAACATATAAAAAAAAAGAAAAGAAATGAAAAGACTAATAATAATTATAATAATTATTATTATAATAAATAACGTAGACCATGATAAAAAAAAAACAAATTCTTTGTTTTTAACAATTTTTTCCCACTAAGGTTAACATAATTTTACTTTCCACCTTCTTCTTCTTCACCATTCTTATCACTACGATTAATTATTTTAAAATAAAAAAAAAAAAAACAAAAATAAAAATAAAAACATAATCAAACAGTTTTGATTATTTCTAACAAATAGCTTTGGAATATTTAATTATTATTATATATATATGGTGTACATTATAAAAGATTTATTTAAATTTAGAAAAAAAATAAAAAAAAAAATAAAAAAACAAGAAAGAAGAAAAATACTTTAACATAGTATATATATATATATATAGTATATAGTATTTTAAGAAAGGTATATTATATAAGATGCCATATAGTATATATAAAATATATTTAAATAATTATTTTTTAATTAATTATTAGCTATTAATTATTAATATTATTACGTTATTAACTATGAAATGTCTGATTACTCAGATTATTTACACCTCGAAATCAGACATTTCATATTTAATGACCTAATATATATAATTTAATTAATTAATTAGTTATCAAGTATAAGTTTTATATATATTTAACTAATTAGAGTAGTTATTAAATGTAAAATCTAATTAATTAATTATTAATTATTAGTATTATACATATATTTTAATATTTAATGCATAAATAATATATAATAATAATCTAATGTGTAATATATAAATAGTTGTTACGAAAAGATGAAGAAGAGGAAGAAGAAAAAGAAGATTTAAGAAAATATAAAATAGTTGTTACGAAAAAAAAAAGAAAAAAAAATTCACCTTCGAGAACGATCGATTATTTCATTCCTTATAAAAATGTTTGACTCGATCGCGATCCAACTGATTAAAATCGCGATAATTAATTATGCTAATATATTCTTGATTTATCCCAAGAAAGTCACCGACGCGAGGTTCCTTTAATGTTAATGACGAAACACCACGAAATTTACACAACTTATTTCGTACAATCCGATAAATTTTTATTCTTATTAAACACCGTTGTATTATGTTCATAATGCACTTGTCGTGTCTGTCTGTCCGTCTGCTGCTAATATGATCAAAACATTATTTCACTTGAGTAGTATAATCTCATTAAATAATTCACGTTCATGCATACATATATATATATATATATATATATTGGATTGGAAAGTATCCGCGGAATTTGCCAATAGATAGTGCTAGCGTCGAAATCTCGGTTTGTATGGTTTGTATCGGGTTATACTATACGCCGTTTGAAAGATGACATTTCAAGCTACATTCTCTATGAAGACAGTTTTTCGCAATTCGTCGTGCGTGTCAAAAGTTATATTCAATTGAAAATGAGTAAAATTTCCGAAGAAATACGCTATGTGATGCTTTATTACTATAAAAAAGGCAAAAACGCTGCAAAAACATGCCGAAAAATTTGTACGGTTTACGGTGAGGATGCTGTAAGTGATCGTCGCACACAGGAATGGTTTGCTCGATTCCGTTCTCGAAATTTTGATGTCAAAGATGCACGACGCTCTGGTTGGCCAATCGTCGAAAATGTTGATAAAGTCATGAAATTAATTGAGGTAGATCGTCATGTGAGCACTCGATCGATAGCCCAGGAACTAAATACCACTCATACAATCGTTTTGAACCATTTGAGTAAAGCTGGATACAAAAAAAAGCTGGATGTTTGGGTGCCACACGACTTAACGCAAAAAATCCTTTTTAATCGAATCAATGCATGCGATACACTGCTGAATCGCAATAAAATCGACCCATTTCTGAAGCGGATAGTGACTGGTGATAAAAAGTGGATCACATACGACAATGTAAAGCGTAAAAGATCCTGGACGAAGACCGACGAAGCATCCCAAACGGCGGCCAAGCCCGGATTGACAGCCAAGAAGATTTTACTGTGTGTTTGGTGGGATTGGAAGGGAATCATCTACTATGAGCTGCTGCCCTATGGCCAAACACTCAATTAGGGCATATACTGTCAACAACTGACCAGATTGAAGCAGGCGGTTGACCAGAAACTGCCAGAATTGGTGAATAGAAAGGGTGTTGTGTTCCATTAGGACAACGCTAGACCGCACACATCTTTGACGACCCAGGAGAGACTCAGGGAGCTTGGATGGGAGGTTATATCGCACCAGCCGTATAGTCTGGACCTGGCACCAAGTGATTACCACCTTTTCCGGTCCATGCAAAATGCTCTTGGCAGTACTAAGCTGCCCTCAAAAGAAGCTTGTGAAAATTGGTTATCTCACTTTTTTGCCAATAGGGATGAGGGCTTCTATGAGAGAGGCATAATGAAATTACCTTCAAAATGGCAACAAGTTATCGCACAAAACGGCGCATATTTGACCTAAATCGGTTTATTCATTCTTTGTAAATTTAAATTTGAAATAAAAGTAAATTTCTGCGGATACTTTCTTTTCAATCCAATATATATATATATATATATATATATATATATATAATTCGCAATAAAATAATATTGCGATTGTAAATTGAGATATAAACTATCCTATCTTTCAAGTTGGATGAAACTGCACACAGTGTGCAAAATTTTATTAAAATCAGTTCAGTAGTTTAGGAGTCCATTGCGGACAAACCACGTGATACGTAATTTCTATATATTAAAAAGAAGAAGAAGAGAAGAATATATATATACATTATTATTAACTTATAATATATATTTTTTAATATAATATATCTAATTATAAAATATTAAATTAATAATATTATGTATTTTATAAATAATTAAATTAATTAAATTAATAATATTATATTATATATATATATATAATATTACATATTATATTTTCTTAGTTCGTATTATAAAATAAAAAAAATATACATAAAACTATGAAAAACCTAATTCCTTGCATACATTTTTTTATTTTTTTTTAATATAATCGTTAATAAAAACGAAACATTTAAAACTACATATTATATTTGTGCTGTGTTTGTTCTATGCAAAAAAAAATTTTTTTAATTAAAATAAAAAAATAATTAAAATATTAAAATAAGTATTTTTCTAAATGGAAAAACAAACCAAAAAAAAGCGAATACCAAAAAAGAAGACGCTTTGGTAAAAAAAAAAAACAAAAAACAAAAAAAGATAAAATTTTAAAAACAATATAAAAAAAGACGTAAACACAAATTCGGATCATTCATCACTTTTCTTTTTATCATCCATTACCTTAATGTGTTGTGTGTTGTGTATGTGTGTGTTGAACACACAAATAATACATAATGCAAACGATATATCTGTTAAAAAGATCATTTTAAAGGAACGTGGCAAATTTCAAGATAATACGGTGTACACTGCATTAATATAAGATAAACTTTTTACTAAAATGAACGAAAAATAAAATATAAAAAACAAAAAAAAAGAACAAAAAAAAAATATATATATATATATACATATATGTGTATATAAAACGCAATATAAATTATGTGCGTTTTAAAATACATCGCAAAATACTTTTTGAAGAGAAAAACCTATCGTAAAAAACAATGTTGTCTGACCTTGACAACGGCAGATCCATAGTATTTGATCCCCTCGAATGATGTTGAAGTTGTTGAAGCTTATGATGTTGTGATGTTGTATCGTTAGCACCGACGATACCAAGATGAACATTTGGTTGCTGTGTACGATGATCAAAACCAAATCCTCTCATGCAAGTCTGTGGTTGCATCTGCAACTGCTGCAACTGTGGCTGCTGCTGCTGCTGTTGCTGTTGCTGTTGCTGCTGATATCGATGATGAGGTTGTTGCTGTTGTTGCTGTTGTTGAGACCACATTTTGTTCTTTCGTGTTCTCGTATTTTTATTTACTTTTTTAAATAAATTTTACATGCCACGACGATGACGATGACGATGACGATGACGATGAAAAGTCAAATAAATTTATTCTCGAACTATTATCTCGTGTCTTTTTCATTTTTTAATCGTATAATAAACTTTCTTTCTGTTTATATATTTTATAAAAAAAAAAAAAAAAATGTTCGTGTAAACGCCCGGAACAGGAAATAAAACACTGCGAGCAAAAACGACGATCCTAAGTTAAATTTGATTGCGTCTTAGTAACAAAAATCAGAACAAAGTCCATGCAAACTTCTTTCTCTTTAACCCTTCCCCCGTCCCTCCCCCCTCTCTCTCTTTATCTGTTTTTTTTTTTATATAGTACAGCTGATTCAATTTGATTTTTATCTACAGTCACATACAGAAGTTGTCGTGGTAGTCGATCGCGTTATGTCCGTTGAAGAGTTTGCCGATCGTTCACTCCGAGAGATCGTTGACCTTGACACCGTGTACCAGACCCCCGATAGAGAAAGAGAAGTAGAGAAAGAACGCTTTTAAGATGCGTAGTAATTGCGTGTTATTCTTCTCAAAGGTATATATATATATATATATAGGATAGTGTTAGTATATAGAACGTATATATAAAGAAACCCAACGCACCAAACTTCTATTTACATTGATAGTAAAAGTAGCGACTACTATGAAGTGAAGAAGACGACTACGACGAAAACGAAGAGAAAGAGGATGACGATGACGTTGACGATGACAAGAAATAAGAACGTTTAAAAACAAAATATCTTTTTTCATGCTCCGAGTTCACGAATAGGCCAAAGTCCGGCTTATCAGTGACCTTGACACAGTGTTGCAAAGCTATCAAATGAAAAATCGTACCGGCGGTAAGACATAAGAGAAAGAGAGAGAGAGAGAGAGAGAGAGAGAGAGAGAGAACTTTCTTTTTTCTACATGTTTAAATATATTAACCAAAAAAAAATGAAAAAGAAAAAGTATATAATAATTATTCACGCAACGAAAGTATTGTTGCGTGATTGGTAATCTATATATGTTATGTATGTATATATATTATAATTATTTGTCAATATGGGATATAAAATAATAGATGAAAAAATATCAAAGGTCAGCGGCGTACACGGAGAGTGGTTGGATTGGTATCGTCGTTTAAACTCGCTAGTTGCCTTTTTAATGGTTAGCCGCCACCACCGCCACCGCCGATTTCACGAATCGCAAGTTAGCGTAGCGGAACGAGAAAGAAACGCACCCACACTGCGTTGCAGCTCGAGGCTGACTGCCGCTACGCGACTACCCCCACTCTTTCGATTGACTGGCGCGCCGGCTTAGTACTATACGCTATCCGATTCGGCAGTACTCGGTATCGTTCGGCTCGACTGACGAGTATACCCCCCCCCCATTCCTATCCGCGATCTTCTGAAGAAGACTTATGGAGGGAAAACAGATAACAACAAAACACGCCTGACCCCGCACCGGTAGCGCATATATCCCTATCCTTCTCCCACTCTCACTCTCCCCCTACCTCACCTCATTGAACTCCTCTACACCGATAACACCGGAATTTTAAACGTTTCTCACATCGAGAAAATTTACTTTATACTTTACTTTACTTTACTTTACTTTACTTTACTTTACTTTACTTTACTTTACTTTACTTTATTTTATTTTACTTTACTTTCTTGCATGCATGCATGTTGCATTCAATGCAGTTTACTTGCAACCGATGATAAATTGTTTATAAATTTTCGTCTATCGTCTTGATAGATTATACAGGGTGGGTCACCACATTTTACCATCTAGATTTATCATTATTACGCGTAGCAGACAATATTTAACATGGAGTTGAATGGCTTTAAAAGGGGTTCATACTGATGGTACTTTTTTTTTTAGGTGGACGTGTCAAGGACATATGAAGGTTGGATAGGACGGGGTGGGCCCATTCATTTTCCGGCTAGATCACCAGATCTAACGCCCCTCGACTTTTTCTTATTGGGTTACTTAAAAAATAAAGTTTACGCTGAGCCTCCGACTACAATGGCCGATATGAGGGATCGTATCGTCAATGAATGCAAGAAAATAACATCAGATACATTAAGAAACGTTAATGAGTCATAAATTTCTCGATTCAGAAAGTGTTCTGATGCAAATGGTCCACATTGAACCTTTTTTGTAAATAGACATAAAAATTAAAATATCTCCTAAAGTAATAATTTTTTTACATAAATAGGGTAATACTTTTTTGTAAATAATATGAAAGAGCATCTGATGATGCAATAAAAAATATATGATTTCATTTAAAAAAACATTAATGACCTTTATATGTCCTTGACACGTCCACCTAAAAAAAAAAGTACCATCAGTATGAACCCCTTTTAAAGCCATTCAACTCCATGTTAAACATTGTCTGCTACGCGTAATAATGATAACGTAAATCTAGATGGTAAAATGTGGTGACCCACCCTGTATATATAATAACCACTATAATATACATATAAATTATATATAATATATAATAACCACTATAATATAACTATAAATATATCACTATAAGTAATTATGTTTATGGTTTTATTTTTAAAAGGGTTTTTTAACCTTTATTTAATTAAATAAAATTAGATAACAAAATTATTTTAAAAATATTTTCAATATTTTATTAGATGTCTTATTAATTATATTTATTATATTTCTTTTTTAAATATTTTATTATTTCTTTTTTTTTGTGAATTTAAGAGAGTTTATCTCGTTGTTTGTATTATTTATAATTATATTACAATTTGTTTTTCAAATACTTTTCGAATATTTCATCTTCTTGAAATTTTCTTATTCCTATTACATTTTTTTTCACATATTTCTTTTTTTTTATTACTAGTTACATACCATTATAAATATTTTGCATTTTATAAAAAATATTTCATAATATTGTATTGAAAAGAAGAAATGTTCTATCTTTACGTCATACGAGAAATACTTGTATTTATTTGTAATATTATTTATAAATTTATTTCATAGAATTAATCCATGTAGAAATGAAAAAGTTTGAAATAACAAAAAATAGAGGTTCACTTTTAAACAACGATCTACATTTTAAAACTTTATTCCATAGAGACTACATAAGGAGCACGCACTCAAACGTACTAATTGCCAAAAATCTATCGCAAATCGTATATTTAAGTTTTCTTGATTCACCACTAATGTCACTAATGTTCCTAGTAACGTACCGATACGTGAAGTGAGCAAACAGTTCTTAACCCTAATACTTGTATGTAAACAAAAAATAATAACAAAAATAAAATATAAAAAATAGGATTAATAAAAAATTATAAATATAAAAATGGGCAGGGTGTGCACAGTTAAAAAATTGCAATAGTGGGAGTGCAACTGATCTCATACGAAGACGGGAATTGAATTTAAAAAAAACCTATGTTTTTTAAAGTATCAAAGGTAAGCAGTTCATGCTCCTTATGTAGTCTCCATGACTATTAGTATTAGTATTTTACTTATATTTTTAACTTTGTATTGTAAATAATTATTGAAAAAAATACAATAACCATTACTTTTATCTGACTGAATTTTATTATCAATAAAATTTACATTTAATACTATTTTTTTTCTAAATGATTAGGATTTAATCTAAATTTATTATTATTATTATTATTATTATTATTGCTATTTACTCATTTTTTACGATTATTAAATAATTATTTATTTAATTTCAATTATTTATACTTGAACAACCTAAATGATTACCCTTGGTTTCGTATTATAGTTTTTTTTTAAACTGCCGCCTTATTCCTATTCCATTTTGGTACAAATAGAACACGGGCGCCCCCTTATTTTATCCCATTTGTATACATGGAGTTCGTGCTCCTTATGTAGTCTCCTTGCTTTATTCGATGTATAAATGTTAGACAAGAAAAATATTTTCATTTTATGTTAATAAAAAGAGAAAAAAAAGAAAAGAATAGGAAAAACAATTGTATAAAATAATCACATTTTACGTCATTTAAACTAACCAGATATAACCACCTATGATTACAACATCAATATTCAACACACGTTTCCTGTTAAGAGTTTAAATATTACTTTACTGTTTTTTTGTCTTTTTTTCTTACATAGATGAAGTATTGGAAAATATTTATTCAAAGAGCTTTAACTAACCTAAGGGTAAATTTTCTCGCAAATATTTATTACCTTGTAATTATCTTTAAATTGTTTATCAAAACTTTACGTAATCAAAAACTAATAATTAATTTAATATCAAATAAAATTTACTTTAAGATCGTACACTATGTAATTTTCTACACGTATCATTCAAAATTTAGAATTTAATAAATGTAATCAATTTTAATGACATCTTTTATATGTAATCTTTTCTTAAAAGGGTAAACGATTTGCAACCTTAACCTAAATAACACATGTAAATAGCACATATATATATATACATATATATGATATATCGTATTATTAAAATTGATTGAATTTAAATGATTTTATTCTGATTTAACCCTTAAAGTGCACATGGGGTGTTTGACACCCCAACAAATTTTTGATCTCTCGAAAACGGTACTGAATTCGAAAAAATGGGTTATTTGTCGCCATCTAGTGTTAATTCAAATGGGTATAAAACCTATTCTATTTTAAAAAAGATGTATCAAACTACTTTTAAAAAAATTGCGAGGTCTAAATATTAAATAGCAGCTTCAGGAGACGCGTTTAAACACGTTGGGGTGTCAAATACCCACAATGCACTTTAAGGGGACATGTCACCTTCGAGTGCAAAAAAAAAGCGGTTTTTTTGTGAATTTTTTTGCAGCCAGTTTTATTAATATCAATAAAAATTTTTGGTATATGTAAGTTATATATCTGAACCATATTGATAATTTTTTTTGTGTAAAAATATTGTAAATTGTGTTGTATGTGGCCACTTTTCTAGGAGTCCAAAAAAAAAAGGTGAT